TCTGCCTGTTGTTCTGATGTATTGATATCGAAAAGTAACCGAATCCTATATAGTAACATCACAATTATATAAACTTTTTAAAAAGTCTAAAAAATAATCAAGGCACTTAAATTCCATCTACTTTTCATTTCCAAATGTTCTTGTTAGTGCAACTTCATTAGCACCTAATTTATCTTCAATCTGTTTCGTAAAAAAAAAAAACAAAGCTAACGTTTTTATCACATACATGAGCTCTAAACTTATTAAAAAGAATTGATCATACTTTAAACGGATTCTCTGATAAAAAACTTTTTATGAATGATGGTTCGGATGAATCGGGTTCATTTCCTTTTTCATATTTTAATTCTTCTGCTAGTTTAACTGACAATTCCTTATCAACTAAAAAATTGAAAGTTGTTACAGTTTAAAAAAATATGGTTCAAAAATTTTACACAGGAAGATAAGTTAAAATATTACCTGATACATTAGGTAATGATCTAGTGCAACTAACAGAGAACCCACGAACGTCACCCATAAAACCATTTCCGGGGGGACCATTTCTAAAAAGTGTAGCTGAGGTTAACCGTGTAGTAGGTGTAACAGATCGTAACCCCGATAACGCTATCACTGAACTCCTGGTTGTAAATGTGAATATTACTGCTGTTATTCTTCTACTAAACATATTTGACATGTTTTTGAAAAGCGCCGATTCGTAGTTATTTTTTTCGTTGATAAAAAAATTTTTTATTGATTATCTGCATCTAGATTGCTCAAGTGATGTCATATAAGTAAGTCACCGGATTGCGATAAATCCTTGTAAAAAAAAAACCACAATCCTTTAATCATCACACGAACTAGGCATTTACCCAAAACTCATTATAATTCCAACAATTTATTTGTGACTGAAATCATTTCGTTTAATTATAACTATATTTGATATATACAGTATAGTTCGAATTAGGGATGGTCACGACGAGTCACAACTTGAGTCAATTCGACTCGACTTGCTCACACTTTTGAGTCGAATTGACTTTATCAAGAGTTCCTAAGAATCGATTCAAATTTCGACCACATATATATTATTTTCTTTATAATAACTTTATTCTATACAATGGCTGTAATATAATTTTTTTTCCTCTATATCATCGTGACAAAAAGATATAAAATACGGTATTAGTGACTTATCAACGTGAGAAAAATAGTCACTGTGGTAACTGAAATTAAAATTGGCTGAAGCTGAAATTTAGAATCTCCATTTGAAATTTATGTAACTTAATAAAACCCACTTATACTTTTTTATTCAAAAAATTATACTAAAAAAAAGTTTCATCTTCAGCCAATTTCAGCCTCAGCCATCACAAAAATAAAATAAAATAAAATAAATCAGAAAAAAATTATCTATGTCACTTCTCTAACTGCACCCCCTTCAGGGGGGAATATAATAAAATAAAATGAAAGCATACATTAGATTTACAATATATATGAAAGATCAAAAGTTATATACTCCTTCCTTATAGACAAGATCAAGCTACTATGCATTTGGAGGGAATTGTACAAAGCGTACATTTGACGTATCGGTATAGAATGTGCATTTAAAAGTAGAGTAACTATACAAAGTTATTCGAATATTAATTTATATTAGTCTATTAAAAAAAAAAAAATTTTTTTTTCTCCAAGTCGCTCGTTTTTATCTGCAATTATTCCAAATATCAATATATATATGTGCAAGTACGTACGTAATCGATTTTTGGGGCGATACTGGAGATGGCAACTATCGATCAATTCATAATTTTTTTAAAGTTAGAGCACTCAAGATGTTTATATAATTTCAAAAAAAAAAAAAAGACCAAAATTTTTCAAAGTATTAAATCATTTAATAAGCAATCAAAAATTTTCACCTATTATTTTCTGCTACGTATTACATATTTTGTATATCAGATATATATATTGATTGACTATCACTATATAAAGATATTTGCTGAATCAAGAAAACAAAATGACTACGTATTATATCATACTATAATAATAACAATATACTTATAATGAAATATGCATGAAATAAGTCACATATTGAAGTGTTCGTTGCTACAAGCAAATATTAAAAAAAAATTTTTTATCCCTTCACAATGATGTTAACATCAACCATTAAATAAACATCAATGATTATTTATTATACAGACTATTTTTGAAGGTCAAATTTCCCCAAAGTTTGTTATATATGGTTCTGAACCAAACCGGGGTTAACTTAGGTTTGGACCTTTTATAAAAAAACCTGGTTCTTAAGTTTTTTAATGAAACAAGGTTTTAGA